CAGCAGGGTGACAGAGTGAGACTCCAACTCAAAAAAAAAAAAAAGAAGAAAGAAGGTAGATATGGGCTCAAATCCTCTTCTATTTATTAGCTGTGTGATCTTGGGCAAGTCAGTCAATCATCCTGAGCCTCCATTTTCTCATCTAGAAAATAGTGATAATAACCCCTGCTTGGTTTTATGATAAGGGTTAGCTATGACAGCATTTACAAAGTACTTATTCTAACATCTAGCACGTAATTGGTCTTTGAGAAGTAAAAGATTATTTAAATTATTTTTATTAAGGAGTATTTTATAGGGTAAGTTAAAGCAGTGCACACCAATAGAAATATGAGAACTGTATATGTAATCTTAAATGTGCCAGTAGCCATATTAAAAAGACTAAAAAGATACAGGGGAAATTGATTTTAATAAAATATTTTATTTCACCTAATATATCCAAAATATCATCATTTCAACAATATAAAAAAAACAGTTAATAAGATATTTTATAATCTTTTTTATTGTTGCACTAAGTCTTCGAAATCTGGTGTATATTTTACCTTTAAAGCACATCTCAGTATAGCAAAAAACATTATGAGAAATACTTGATCTCTGTTTAAATTTTATAGTTGAAAAGAAAATTTTTACATAGCCAAGTTGTTCCGAGCTTCCTCACAATTTTGCCAATAACAAAATCAAGGGCCAATTTTTTACATTGAAACTTAATTAAAATTAAATAAAATTTAAAATCCTGATTTTGGGCCACACTAGACACCTTTCAAGGGCTCCGTAGCCATGTAACCATGTGTACTAGAATACATTGGACAGCACAGGGCTAACCTGGCTGGTTCTTTTTTTTTTTTTTTTCTTCCCTGAGTTGGAGTCTCACTCTGTCGCCCAGACTGGAGTGCAGTGGCCGCTCCCAGCCACCACAGCCTCGACCTGCTGGGCTCCGGCAATCCTTCCACCTCAGCCTTCCAAGTAGCTAGAACTACAGGCGCACGCTACCATGCCCGGCTAATTTTTGATTTATTGTAGAAATGAGGTCTCACCAAGTTGCCCAGGCGGGTCTCGAACCCGCAGGTTCAGGCAATCCACTCACCTCAGCCCTGGCTGGTTCATCAAGGAAAGAACAGAGGCGTTCACAGTACCAGGTGTGTTAACCTTGTGGTGCCTGTATTTTGGAAGCAGCAGAAATCTTCAGGGTTTAGTGACTGTTGTTATTGCCGGTCCCCCTTCGTTCATTCCTTCACACAGGACGGCCTCTGTCTCCTGTTGAATAGATGCCAACCCCAGAGAGAAGTCCTGTCCTGCCCTAGAAAAAGTAGGCAGATTTTTTAAAACTTTAAGTGTTTGGGTGGTCCTTATGTCCTCCCAAAAAAAAAAGTCCATTTGAGGCAACAACTTTTTTCTAGCTGTACTGACAAGAAAAGGGATTTTCTCATTTTGACGTTTTAAATGACAGCTCTCTGGCCAGTGAGATGTCTGAATGAAGTCCAATTCTAGTTCTGCCATCCCTGGTTTCCTGGAGACGGCTTCTTGCCTTTTTTTTTTTTTTTAAGAACTTCTAGGATTGACCATTTTGCCTCAAGAGACCTGTAAATTTTTTAAGTAGTGGCAAAGAACAAACAGGGGAAAATGCCTGTGCACAAAATCCAGGAAGGAAACAGATTAAAATACTAACAGGAACTGTCTGGAATTCTTTTTTTCATCTACTTTTTTTTTTTTTTTTTTTTTTTTTTTTTTTTTTTTTTTTGTAGTTTCAAGTTTTCTTTAATGAGCATAGGGGAAAATACATTTTAATTTTTAAAATTAATATGATCCATTTTTGAAGAAGCCAAATAAAATGTTTATTGAAATAATATAAAGAGTTTAAGAAAAGAGGCTGGGCATGGTGGCTGACACTTTTAATCCTAGCACTTTGGGAGACTGAGACGGGATGATGGCTTGAGCCCAGGAGTTCAAGACAAGCCTGGGCAGCATAGCAAGACCTCATCTGTACAAAAAATAGAAAAATTAGCTGTGTGTGCTGGCATATGCCTGTAGTCCCAGTTACTCAGGAGGCTGAGGCAGAAGGACCACCTGATCTAAAGAGGTCAAGGCTGTGGTGAGCCGTGATCATGCCTCTGCACTCCAGCCTGGGCAACAGAGTGAGAACCCCAACTCAAAAATAAATAGACCAAAAGATGAACTCTCAAAAGAGTTGAATACAATAGAAACCATTTGACTATTGATTAAACATACATCTTTGTTTTTTGAGTCAGAGCCTCACTCTGTTGCCCAGGCTGGAGTGCAGTGGCACACTCACGGCCACTCCCGCGTTGACCTACTGGGCTCTGGTGATCCTTCCAAATAGCCAGAACTTCCAAATAGCCAGAATTAGAGGCACGTGCTATCACACCTGGCTAATTTTTTAAAAATTTTATTGTAGAGACGAGGTCTCTTCAAGTTTCCCGGGCTGGTCTCAAACCCGCAGGCTCAGGCGATCCACTCACCTCGGCCTCCCAAAGTACTGGGATAACAGGCTGAGCCAGCGACCCTGGCCACACATCTTATACAATCACTGATTTGGTGGCATAGGATTACACCTCCTCATTATGTTAACAATCACACTAGTTATTCAGTGAGTTATAATTTTACATTAAATATTATAAGTTCTTTGTATTTGTTTTTAATTCTAAAAACTAATCTGTGGACTTTAAAAAGTGTTATAGCTGACAGAAATTAGGAAGAAGAAAAAAATATTCTGACAGCTCTTAAGAACTGTCTCATAGTGCTATATAAATAGAAATGTAATTAAGTTATTTAATGTGGTATAGCTAACTCCCGGAAATACTAAATAATAACTAAGTAAAGTCCACATGTTTGGGGAAACCGCAGAAAAGGAGATCTTTTTACTAAATTCCCTATTAGAGTGTTTAAAATGAAAAAAATCTAGAAATAGGGGCAAAAGTATATTAGACTCTTGTTTCGATGGAAACCAACAGAAGGCTAAAATCAGAAACACTTGAAAACAAACAAACAAAAAAAAACGACTCTGGGGAGTCTGAGTTGAGGTCTGGGCAAATATTGCTGTGTATTTTTATTCCATCGTAATTCATTTTAATCACATGTTCCTACTGCATTTCTAATTATTAAGTAACTTTCAAATGTATTATATAGTAAGTCTGGATATTAGGGAATTGTTAGACAATGTGATTGTTTGTCAATCAAATACTTTGTAAAACCCTTGAGTTATATGACACTGATCAAAGTAAGAGTGTGTTCATCAGTCTAACACGTGAAGGAGAACGTCCCCAAAGCTTAGCAGCAAGGGTATATGCTACATATGTCTTTATAGGAACAGAAAAGCATTATAGGCATCGGGAGAGAAAAAAAGAGAGAGTGCATGGGCTATTTCCCCTGCTTTGAAGCTTTGCCAAATCCACTGGTCTCTGAGAGAACTGTATCTGTTACATAGGGAGTCTGGGGAGTCATTACGCTTTGGTTTGATCACAACAGTCTGTTTAAAGCTCCCTTTGTATTTCTCCCAGCCTGCAGGGATCCCGGTGTTCTGTCTCCTGTGAAGACGGACGCTACTTCAACGGCCAGGACTGCCAGCCCTGCCACCGCTTCTGTGCCACTTGTGCTGGTATCTTCTCCGGTTCTTTGTTTATTCTGGTTCTGGTTTTGCTTTTGTCTGTCTGGGTTTAGCCATCATTCATGCAACCCACTCGATAATTTTACAGTGAATGCTGGAAAAGTGTATTTCTTTTCTGGTAACGGTGCATGTATTCCCACTGCAAGTCAAAGACATCAGTGTCCTATCCCAGTGGAGACACTTAAATAACCCAGTAATATCTTTTTTTTTTTTTGAGTTGGAGTCTCACTCCATCACCCAGGCTAGAGTGCAGTGGCATGGTCATGGCCACCCCAGCGTCAACCTGCTGGACTCCAGCGATCCTTCAGCCTCAGCTTTCCAAATAGCCAGAACTACAGGCGTGTACCACCACGCCCGGCTATTTTTCTTTTTTAATTGTAGATACGAGGTCTCACCAAGTTGCCCAGGCTGGTCTTGAACCTGCAGGCTCAGGCAATCCACTCGCCTCGGCCTCTCAAAGTGCTGGGATTACAGGCTGAGTCACCAAGCCCAGCTCAATAATATCTCATCTTTCCAAAGAGAACAGATGTTTTTGGCAAATAGGTTTCATTTACATTGAGAGGCCGTATTTTCCCAAGGGAATTAGGAAAGCACAAATATTAGATTATTACTCTTAGGCTGGGTGCAGTGGCTTCGCCTATAATCCCAGCACTTTGAGAGGCCAAGGCAAGAGGATCACTTGAGCTCAGGAGTTCAAGACCAGTCTGAGCAACATAACGAGACCTTGTCTCACCAAAAAAAAAAAATAAGAAAAAAATTAGCTGAGTGTGATAAAATATCGGCCACTTGGGAAGCTGAGAGAGGAGGATCCCTGAGCTCAGGAGGTCAAGTGAGCTATGATTTCACCACACATTCCAGCCTGGGCAACAGAGACCCTCAACTCAAAAAAATAAATAAATAAATAAATTATTACTCTTAAAGTTGTAGCAGATGGATATCATCTTCGCAAACTGTTAAAGAGGTCCATTATGCAACCTTTACTGAGATTTCATTTCTGTTTCCTGCATTTGTCTTATTTTTAAGGGGCAGGAGCTGATGGGTGCATTAACTGCACAGAGGGTTACTTCATGGAAGACGGGAGATGTGTGCAGAGCTGTAGTGTCAGCTATTACTTTGACCACGCTTCAGAGAATGGATACAAATCCTGTAAAAAGTAAGTAGATCTCCCCTCTGGGACCTAGTATTGAGGACCTGGCTTCCTTATATGACTGCCTTCATAAATAGTAGGAAAGCTTAAAAATTTTTTTTCTAAGAGTTTGCTCCTTTATACTGAGATTAATTATCTCTCCTTTTTTTTTTTTTTTGAGTTGGAATCTCACTCCAGCGCCCAGGCTAGAATGCAGTGGCACGCTCACAGCCACCCCACCTGCTAGGCTCTGGCGATCCTTCCTCAGCTTTCCAAGCAATCGGAACAACAGCCACATACTACCACTTCCAGCTAATTTTTTGATATATTGTAGAGACAAGGTCTCACCAAATTGCCCAGGCTGGTCTTGAACCCCTGGGCTTAGGCAATCCTCTCGCCTCAGCCTCCCAAAGTGCTGGGATTATAGGTTTGAGCCACTGTGCCCGGCCTTCAAATTTGCAATAACAAAATTAGGTTCAAACATCTACCTATGGACAATGCCCTGGAACTTGAATCCAACTTATCTTTGATATTTTTATATTTGCCTTAGGAGCACCTTAAAACCTTTAAAGTCATATTTCTATTCAGAGTCATGCTACATAATGTTTAAAATCAGTGGTCTTCTGGTCTTTCTTTTTTTTTCCTTTGAGTTTTCTTTAATGGTATCAAGTCTAGCAGTTATTGTAAGAAAAGGTTTCTGTGTCATCTTCAGAGGGAGAATTAAGTTTAAGACATTAGGAGGTTGACAGTAAGCATACACCGGCTCTGATACATGATGTGTGAATAGAGTTTTTAAAATTACACATTTCTCCCATAGATGTGATTCCAGTTGTTTGACATGCAATGGCCCGGGGTTCAAGAACTGTACGAGCTGCCCCAGTGGGTATCTCTTGGACTTAGGAATGTGTCAAATGGGAGCCATCTGCAAGGATGGTGAGTACAGCTGCTCATTTTGGTCTTTCTATTTTAAGGTCTAATACTTTTCCACTTAAAAAAGAAACTAACAAGCCTACATCAGATAGGACACACTAGGTGTCTTGTTGGCATTCATTCTTCTCCAACTTGTGTCCTTAATAGGTTTTGTTGTTTATTTGAATCGCATGAAGAAAGAAATTACCTCTAATCCCATTGGCCAATATGGCTTTGGTTAATTTTTTTAGTTAATAAACTTTATTTTTAGAGCCGTTTTAGATTTCTATCAAAATTGAGCAGAAAGTCACGGCCAGGCTCATACCTGTAATCCCAGCACTTTGGGAAGAGGCCAAGGCAGGAAGATTGCTTGACTCTAAGAATTTGAGACCAGCCTAGGCAGCATAGTGCGACCTTGTCGCTATAAAAAAATTTTTTTTTAAATAGCCAGGCATGGCAGCGTGCAGCTTTAGTCCCAGTACTTGGATGGCTGAGACGGTAAGGTCACCTGAGCCCAGGAAGTCTAGGTCAATGAGCTATGGTCACGCTACTACACTCTAGCCTGGGAGACAGAGTGAGATCCTCCACTCAAAAAAAAAGAAAAGAAAAGAAATTTCCCATATACTCTGTCCACACACGCATAGTCTTCCCCACTGTCAAAATCTAGTATCAGAACGGTACGTTTGTTACAACTGGTGAGCCTACATGGACACATCATTGTCACCCAAAGTCCACAGTTGACATGAGGGTTCACTCTTTGTGCTGTACGTTATGTGGATTTGCACAAATTTGTAGAATGCCCTATATCCATCACTATAGCGTCATACAGAACAGTTTCACTGCCCTAAACGTCCTCTGTATTTTGCTTACTCATTCCTCCCTCCCCTCAACCTCTGGTAACTACTGTTTTTTTTTTTTCATTACTGTCTTCATAGATTTGCCTTTTCCAGAATGTTACATAGTTGGCATTATACAGTATGTAGCCTTTTATAATTAATTGTTGATGTATTTCTTTCTAATTTTTGCCATACGTACTTTTTTTTTTTTGAGTTGGAGTCTCACTCCATCATCCAGGCCAGAGTGCAGTGGCACACTCAGGGCCACCCCAGTGTCAACTTGCTGGGCTCCAGCAATCCTTCCACCTCAGCCTTCCAAGTAGCTGGAACTACAGATGCATGCTACCATGCCTGGCTAATTTTTTTTATTTATTGTAGAGACAAAGTCTCACTAAGTTGCCCGGCTTGGTCTCGAACCCACGGGCTCAGGCAATTTACTCGCCTTGTCCTCCCAAAGTGCTGGGATTACAGGCTGAGCCACCGAACCTGGCCCATATGTACTTTTTACCAGATTTTTAAAATACCACATACATAGAGCTTTGTGTCCTGCCTTTTGCATTATACATTAGGCATAAACATTATCCTATGTTTTGATGAAGTCTTAGGAAACTTCATTTTGAATAACAGCGTAAAAGTCAATCACAGGAAGATGCTATGGTTTTTTTTCACCAATCTCCTATTTTTTTTTTTTTTTTTTTT